ACGTTCCAATTCATACCAAAGGTGCTCAGTAGGGTTGAGGTCAGGGCTCTGTGTAGGACACTCGAGTTCCTCCACCAAGCTGGTCACACCATGTCTTTATGGAGCTGGCTTTGTACACGGGGGACAGTCATGGTGGGACAGAAAAGGGTCTTCACCAAACTGTGACCACAAGGCTGGAAGAGCACAATTGTCTACAATGTCTTTGTATGATGGAGGATTATCAGAACCTTCACTGGAGACACCTGAACTCCATCATTGGGAGGGGGGTCCACATACTTTTGACTACATAGGTAGATGTGATGGTCAGAGGTGGACTATGTATGTTGGGTTCACATCACTGCTGGAGATGGAAGCTCATCATACACTTAATGCGCGGTATCCTTTTAAATAAACCCTCTTCACGTGCCGATGTTGGATGAGGAGACCCGGCTCACAATCGTTACTCCAATTCATCCCAAAGGTGCTCAGTAGGGTTGAGGTCGGGGCTCTGTCTGGCACACTCGAGTTCCTCCACCAAGCTGGTCACACCGTGTCTTTATGGAGCTGGCTTTGTACACAGGGGACAGTCATGGTAGGACAGAAAAGGGTCTTCACCAAACTGTGACCACAAGGCTGGAAGATCACAATGGTCTACAATGTCTTTGTATGATGGAGGATGAACAGAACCTTCACTGGAGACACCTGAACTCCATCATTGGGAAGGGGGTCCACATACTTTTGGCCACATAGGTAGGTGTGATGGTCAGTGATGTCAGAATACAGCTAGAACCTCTGATCTGTGTACATCTTCTGGGTCAGTATGATAGGGTTGGGCTTGAAGCCAGAAGGTGAGCATGAGAACCAGACAAGCTATCAATCCTCTTTCCCTGCACAGGCAGCACGGCGCTCTTCCACATTGTAGAGGGTTGCATCAATAAAGTTCAAAAATAGCTTTTATGCCGAAAGTAGCCGGATGTTTAACAGGAAGAGAATGTTTTTGTGTCTGTGATGCAACTAAAGTGTCTGTAATCTCTCACAATGATCTTCTTTTATTTGTTCCCTATTGGTTTGTTAAGTGTTCTGTTATCCGTTATCATATAAAGCAGAAGATGGTTTCATCTGTCACTGGTCCTGGGCCAAGGCAAAGGAGGCACCTGCCTTGGATGCTGTGTTGTGAGGGGCATAGCTGGTAGAGGAGCCTCTCCAATCGCCCAGACGTGTCCTGACCACTCAGTACTGCGGACAGAGCTCTGATGACTACACAGGGGGAGCCCCACTGACCACCAAGGTAAGGGGCATTCTTCCCACTGACCCCCCAAGGTAAGGGGCATTCTTCCCACTGACCCCCCAAGGTAAGGGGCATTCTTCCCACTGACCCCCCAACGTAAGGGGCATTCTTCCCACTGACCCCCAACGTAAGGGGCATTCTTCCCACTGACCCCCCAACGTAAGGGGCATTCTTCCCACTGACCCCCCAACGTAAGGGGCATTCTTCCCACTGACCCCCCAACGTAAGGGGCATTCTTCCCACTGACCCCCCAACGTAAGGGGCATTCTTCCCACTGACCCCCCAACGTAAGGGGCATTCTTCCCACTGACCCCCCA